GTGCTAATAGGGAAGTCTAATGGTGCTAATAGGGAAGTCTAAACCAGATCGAGAAAATGTAGGAGTCAAAAAAAGACCACTTGGTGTTGCGCATTGCGATGTTGTGAATCAGGCAGGAAAAATATACCAGTGAGAAAAACACCACATGGTGTTGTGCATCAGAAGTGTCTGAAACATGCCGGGACGGGTGGGTGCAACATGTGACATGTGACATGTGTGACACGTCACGTCACATGTCTGATATTTGACATGTGACATGTATGACACCTGTCACATGTTACACGTGTGACATGTCTCACACATGTCAAGTGTCACGGGTCACGCATGTGACATTTGACATGTGATATGTATGACACATGTCACATGTCACACGTGTGACATGAGACATGTGTGACACATGTCACACGTGTGACATGTGACAAGCATGTCACATATCACACGTGTGACAAGTGACATGCGACATGTGTGACACATGTCACATGTGATGTGTGCCAAACATGTCACATATCACACTTGTGACATGTGACAACTGTGAGACATGGGTAGGCCTGAAGCAGGTGGGGAAAATGTATGAGTGAGAGAAACACCACGGGGTGGTGTGCACAGGATGGGTCTGATCCAGGGCGAAAAACGTAGAAGTGAGAAAAACACCATGTGGTGGACCACATAGGGAGGGTCCTAACTGGGCAGTTGAAGTGTAGTAGTGAGAAAAACACCATGTGGGGAGCACATTGGGACGATCTGAACCAGGTAGTGGGAACGTAGGAGTAAGAAAAGTACCATGGGGTGGTGCACTTTGTGAGGGTCTGAACCAGGCCATTAAAATGTAGGAATGAGAAAAACACCACGAGTTGGTGCATAGCAGGAGGTTCTGAACCACACTGTTAAAATGTAGGAGTCAGCAAAACACCACGGGGTGGTGCACAGCTGGAGGTTCTGAATCAGGCAGGGGAATTGTAGGAGTGAGAGAAACCCTATGGTGAGCTGGGAATAGCCAGGGTATAAACAAGGGAGGGGATATGTAGCAGTGGTGCTGCACATCAGAAGCATCTGAGACAGGCCAGGAAAATGTACCAATGATAAACACCCCACGGGTTGACGCAACATGGGACATGTGACATGTGTGACACAAGTCATATGTCACATGTGTGACACACATGCCTGTGACATGTGATGTGAGACATGTGTGACACATTTGACAAGTCACACGTGTGGCATGTGACATGTGTGACACATGTGACATGTCACACATGTGACATGTGTGACACATGTGACATGTCACACATGTGACATGTGTGACATGGCATACATGTGACATGTGCACAACATGTGACATGTGTGACATGTTACCTGTCACATGTGACATGTAACAAGTGTGACACATGTCACATGTCATGTGTGACATGTGACATTTCATATGTGTTTCACCGGTCACATGTCATACATGTGACATGTGTGAAACATTTCACATATGACATATAACATGTGTGACACATGTCATATGTCACATGTCACACGTGTGATGTGAGACATGAGTCACACATGTCACAGTTGTGACATGTGACATGTTCCACACAACTCACGTGTCACATGTCACACATGTGTAACATGCATCAGGAGGGTCTGAAGCAGGCAGTGAAAATGTAGCATTGTGAAAAACATCATAGGGTGGTGAGCATAGGGAACACTGAACCAGATCGGGAAAATCTTTGAATGAGAAAAAGACCCCTGTGTGGTGCGATCAGGATGTTGTGAACCAGGCCGGGAAAATGTACGAGTGAAAAAAGCACCATGGGGTGGTCAGCATCGGTTGGGTCTGAACCAGCTGGAAAAATGTAGGAGTGAGAAAAACACCACATAGGGGAGTGCATCGGGAGAATCTGAACCAGGCAGTGGAAATGTAGGATTGAGAAAAACACCACACGGTGGTGCGCACAGTGAGGGTCAGAAACAGGTCGTTAAAATGTAGGAGAGAGAAAAACACCACGGGGTGGTGCACAATAGAAGGGTCTGAACCAGTCATTGGAAGTGTAGTAGTGAGAAAAACACCACTTGGTGTTGCACATTGGGATGTTGTGAATCAGGCAGGAAAAATATACGAGTGAGAAAAACACCACAGGGTGTTGCACATCAGAAGTGTCTAAAACAGGCTGGAAAAATGTACCAGTAAGAAAAACCCCACGGGTTGGTGCAACATGTGACATGTGTGACATGTCACACGTCTGTTATTTGACATGTGACAGGTATGACACCTGTCACATGTCACATGTGTGACATGCCTCACACATGCCACATGTCACGGGTCACGCATGTGACATTTGACATGTGATATGCATGACACATGTCACGTGTCACACGTGCAATATGTGACATGTGTGTGACAAACGTCACATGTCACACCTGTGACATGTGACATGCGTGACCCACGTCACATGTGTGACGTGTGCCAAGCATGTCACATATCACACTTGTGTCATGTGACACGTGATATGTGTGATGCTTGGGTGGGTCGGAAACAGGCGGGGATAATGTACGAGTCAGAAAAACTCCATGGGGTGGTGCGTATCATGAGGGTCTGAACCAGGATGTTAAAATGTATGAATGAGAAAAAAACCACGAGATGGTGTGCAGCAGGAGGTTCTGAAGCAGGCCATTAAAACACCACGTGGTAGTGCGCAGCTGGAGGTTCTGAATCAGGCAGGGGAATTGTAGGAGTGAGAAAATCACCACCACGTGGTTCGCATCAGGAGGGTCTGAATCAGGCAGGGGAATTCTAGCAGTGAGAAAAACCTTATGGTGTGCTCAGAATATAGAGGGTGTAAACCAGGCAGGGGAAATGTAGGAGTGAGAAAAACACCACGGGGTGGTTCGCATCTGGAGGTTCTTAACCAGGCAGTAAAAATGTAGGATTGTGAAAAACACCATGGGGTGGTGTGCATAGGGAAGTCGGAACCAGACTGGGAAAATGTAGGAGTGAAAAAAGCATCACCGGGTGGTGCGCATGGGGTGGGTCTGATCCAGGCCGGAAAATTGTATGAGTGAGAAAAACACCAAGGGTTGAAGCGCATCTGGATGGTCTGGACCAGGCAGTCGAAATGTAGTAGTGAGAAAAACACCATGGGGGGAGCGCATTGGAATGGTCTGAACCATGCAGTGGAAATGTAGGAGTGAGAAAAACATCACGGGGCGGTGCCCATCGTGAGGGTCTGAAACAGGCAGGGGAAATGTAGGATTTAGAAAAACACAACAGGGTAGTTTGCATCTGGAGGTTCCGAACCAGGTAGGGGAAATGTAGGATTGTGAGTAACAACACGTGGTGGTGCGCATAGGGAAGTGTCAACCAGATCAGGAAAATGTAGGAGTGAGAAAAAGCCCACTGGGTGGTGCGCATTGGGATGTTGTGAGCCAGACCGAGAAAATGTACAAGTGAGAAAAACACCACGGAGTGGTGAGCATCCGGTGGGTCAGATCCAGGTGGGAAACATGTGAGTGAGAAAACCCCACGGGGTGTTGCGCATCGGGTGGGTCTGAACAAGGTGGGGAGAATATACCAGTGAGAATAACACCACTGGGTGGTGGGAATAGGAGGGTCTGATGCAGGCAGGGAAAATGTAGGAATGAGAAAAACACCACAGGGTTTTGCGCTTCGGGAGGGTCTGAACTAGGCCAGGGAAATGTAGGAGTGAGAAAAACATCATGGGGAGATGCACATCAGGAGGGACTACACTAGGTCAGTAAAATGTAGGACCGAGAAAAACACAAGGGGGTGGTGCGCATAGGGATCTTCTGAATCAGGCCTGGAAAATGTAGGAATGAGAAAAACACCACGGGATTGTTCGCATCGGGAGGGTCTGAACCATCCAGTGGAAATGCATTAATGAGAAAAACTCCACGGGGTGGAACACATAGGGATCTTCTGAACCAGGCCTGGAAAATGTAGGAATGAGAAAAACACCACGGGGGGTGGTACGCATCCTGAGGGTCAGAACCAGGCCATTAAAATGTAGGAGTGAGAAAAACACGACGACGGGGTGGTGCGCAGCAGGAGGTTCTGAATCAGGCAGGGGAATTGTAGGAGTGAGAGAAACCCTACGGTGTGGGTGGAAAAGGCTTATTTCTTGATTATTCTAGGTTCAAGAATTTTTTAAAAATATGTAAATTCTATTGCAAGCATGTTGTTTATTACAACTTAGTAAAATTACCTAAATTTTAGGTATTAATTATATGCAAGTAAATGTTATTTTTGCATTTTGTAGAATGAAATTACTGATGAACATATGTAGATACTTAGAAATTAAAATCTTAAAACTCTTACATGTATCCTCAGTGGTTTTGTTTTGCTTATTTTTTTAAAAAAATATATAGAACATAAGTTCACAAAGAAATATAGTTCAGAATTGCTGATTCAGTAGAAGTGGATTGTAGGTCATCCTGTAGAGGAAGGAATAAATGAAGGGAAATAGGAAACAGGAGATGAATCTGTCTTACTGGCAAGGAAGGGCTTTAGAGATTTGAGAATCCACACCAAATGCAAAAACCACGATACACACTGCAGAGGAAAAGGATTAGAAATTACTGTCTTACCTCTGTTACCTCAACAGGCTTATATCCTAGAAGCCCTGCACAAAAGCCTTTCCTTTTTCTGCCCCTAAGACACTTGTTTTGATCTCCTTACAGTTCATTTAAGATGCAGTCTCAGTTCTCATTTGAAAGAAACCATTAATTATCAAGCATCCCTAGTGCACCAATGCTGTCCTCTTTCAGAGCGCTTCCTTCCGGTTCGGTGTGTGGCACTCTGTTTCATCAGCTGTCCAGCCCCACATCACATCCTCCCACCATGCCAGCTGCAGAAGCTGCCTGCCCACTGGCCAGGCTTTGACTTTTCTTCTCATATTCAGTACCACCTGCAGATATCTGTAATCTAGAAGATGCCATAGGGAAAGAGTAATGTTTTAAATCTAGTAATTACTGACAAAATGTGTTAGGATAAAGAGCCATAATACAGTAGAGTAATAAATACTTTATTTTGCTTTTATTTTTCTTTTTGAAATACAAAATGTGCACATTGAGTTACACAAACACGCGATGGCAGGTTTCAGTGTACATGTATTGTACTACTCTTTATGTCTACACTGGTGGTAGCAGGGCAGCGGTCAACATCCTATCTCTACACCAGAATAGATACCTGATTTATTGTTGCAAAGACAGTTGCAGATTTCATCCTCCTGCAGCCTCATGGTCTTTGATGTTTCTACCAAACACAAAGATGTGTGTATCTGTGGTACTGTTGTGGCATTTTTACAGTTTTGACTTAAAGATCGTTAAGGAGGATCTGAATTGTTGGCATTCTATTTGAGCTAAATTATAATGCAATCCAGATGAGTTGTTCAGCATCTATAGTCTTTTCCTGTGAAATCTTGGTGGTTGTTGTCAGTGTGATAGAATCACTGTTACCAAAATGGATTCTGCTTGCTATTTGTTCCTAGTATACTTTCGGGTAATTGGGTTTCTTTGACCCCAAATGGCTTGTAATATAAACATGCTGTGGGGAAGTCAGGGCAAAGGAGATGGAATTGGTCTTTAATACTGTCAGGGATTATTTTTTGTTGAGCATTATTATGTATCAAAGGACAGATATCCTGACCCTTTGCCTATGTCTGTAAACTTCCTTGCTTTGAACTTCCGCTTAATAGCTTCCTAGATACAGTCCACTTGTAAGATTAAACCAGCCCAAAATCATACATATTTTGTAGGCCTTTGCTGTAATACGTGGAAAAGTGCTTATTAAAATAAATTTTATTAGGCATATGCTGACATCCAGTAATAAACTAATTTTTTGTTATAAAAAATGCCAGATAATGTCTTTAACAGAAGGTGGCAAATCTATAGAAATTGGAAAATTACGCAGTTTTGGTTTCCAATTGTAGTAATCTTACTTTGTTAATGTTACATAAATGTAAGGAAGTGAAATTAACTTCTGGAAATAATACAGATGTACATATTTTAGAAAATGCTTTAAAATCCTAGGACTGAATACCTACAAATGAATAGCAAAAAACATTGATATTTTAAAAATCACTAATATGTGAAAGCCTCAATAATCCCATGACTAAAGGATCAAAAAACTCTTCACCAGATTCTATTACTTTTGGATATCCACAGAGTGTGAAATGAGTTAGAATATCTCATGAACTCAGTGCCATTATGAAAGGAATGCAAATTATAAATGAAAAACTCAAATCTTCCAGGGATTGCTTTATATTAAACAAAGCTTGTTGGCATAATATGCCTCAGTGTAAAGCTGAGCAATCTATGCTAAAAGTGGTAGCTCCAACTGTAAGTGTGATAGAGTAGTTCACATTTGACAAGTTAAATCACATTTTCGAAGAGCTGCATGGAGCGCATGATGTTTTCATCCTGTAAGGAGGCAACACAGGGCTTCAGTTCAGCGTGGCTGCAGCGGATGGTACCCTACTGTGCCCCTAGTGTCGCACCCCGCCCCCAGCTGCCTGTGCCAGTGCGCGCACACACACTTTCACAGCTAAATACCATCCCGTCTCTTAGATCACCATGGATCACTGTCTGATTTTTTTTTTTTTGGCTCTTTAAACATTTCATTTAACTTATCCTTATCAGTCGAGGATATTTTTAAATCATAACGCTGGATATCTGGAAACCAGAAAGGTGTAGGAAATAAATTAAGTGAGTAAGTGAGAATTTTGGCATTCCACACCTATAGTGCCAAATCACAGACTTCTGTATGGGTTCACAGACATAATGATGTGTATGACAGCTTACTGCCAACTTCGGAGGGTTGTGCTAGGGGTGTGAGAGGCAGCGTGGTGGTGGACTAGGGAGGTGTACAGTATCATGCGTCTTTCTCTGTGATTGGCTAGTTATATCTACGTGTGTGTGGACTTTGAAAAGGAATGGCCTGTCAGTGCCAACATAAAGCCCTGATTAAAAAATCCACAAATTGTGCAGTGCCTGTGTTAGGTTAGCACTGTCCTTAGAGGCAAGTTCCTAGGGCTGACTTTGGGTATTTTATAGGTACCCTTGTCAGTTTTATGGGACTGCTCTTTGTGAGCTGTTTAGTTGTGGGAAATGGTGGTTGAACCAATTTCAGTTTGCACTGAAACCAAGTTACTGCTACATCGTGAAGCAGGTTGATGTCACCAAGTTACCTGTCTGAAAGATCACCACTTCAGAAGGTGAGGTGAAAAACAGATGGTAGGAAAGGTGCAGAGCCAGAATTTAACAATAAAGAGAAAACCTGCAGCACCAACAGACTTCTTGGTCTCTGTGATTTCGTTTTTAATCTTGTGTGCTTCTACATACACATCAAGCCAAATAATTCAAAATAAATTTAACATTCATTTTCCAGAATACAGATAACTACCCACATCCCTCCCCCCAGAAATGTCTGCTCTATTTTTTTTGTATTTGAAGACCATTATTTGTCAGTTACAAATACTAAAAGGTTTGGGAAGAAGCATAGTAAATGGGTATTTTTGTATTTCCAGGGCTTCCTAGGTAGCCTGCCTTAGAGTAGACACATAATCATTGCAAGACTGTCAGTTGACATTTGTTTATAAAGTGGGAGCCCTGCTGTACCTGTTGTAGAAATGCTAAGATTAGACATTTGATCTCTATGTCGTGCTTAGTTCACAGTGGCTCAGTGGCACTACTTACTGAAGCTACTGTAAATTTACAGTGACAGTTTTTCCCCCTCATTACTTACTTTTTGGCAGCTTTCAATGAACTCATCTATGGTAACAACCCCATCTTTATTTTTGTCCATTTTCTGTACAAGGAAAAGAAAAAGAAGAAAATGTGTATTAAGGCTTTCGATATGAGACTCTCACACCTGAACCCCATAGAAAACCCATCTGCTCATTTAATGTGGAGACCCACACTGCAGCAGGAGCTAGTGGATTCTTGGAAATTAGAGTCCTATGGTAGTGTCCTTTCCAAAGGTCAGAGTCCCTCTGCCTCAGGTGAAACTTCACATGATAGAGTTCAGGCAATATGCTGAAATGTGAGTGCTGGTTTTCGCATGTGGAAAATGGGGCTAATCAGGATTTTTAACATCAGGTTTTGTGAGAAGCGAATAGAAACAAAAACTTGTAAACCTGAGAATTGCTTAGTGCTCTATTTAGGATATAGTGAAGTTACCAGTGTAATAAATTTAAAACCAAAGTTACAAAGTTAGTAACATGGAAAATATTCTGCAGTTTTTTTCTCTTTCAGTAAAATATATTTCACTCTTTAAAATCCACAGTGCTTTTCAAACATGAGGAAAGTGCTGATAATTTTGGACTGTCCATCCCTACTTCTGTTATCATTCCTACCTGGAAAAATGTCTCCACGTGTTGTCTGGGAGCATCTTCTTTGAGGACAGGATATGTGCATTTGCCCATCATGTCGTATATTGCTTTCATTATATCGAGCATTTCCTGAGAGGGAAAAGGCACACACATGAGTCTGCAAACAAGTATGAGGAACCCAGTGGAAGATGCTTGACGCACATTCCCATGTAGTTTAAACATTGTGATTTTTCTTCGATTCTTCAAAGACAAAGGTAGCAGCAGTTTTTTTTTTCCTTAAAAGCAGTTGAATAAGAATGTAAGAATCAGCCAGGCATAATGGCACAGGCCTTAATCTCAGGAGGCTAAGGCAGGAAGATCACTGGGAGTTCAAGATTTGAGGCCAGTTTGGGCTATAGAGTGAGTTCAAGAGCAGCCTGAACTGTATAGGGCAAAAAAAAGAATTCTAACCTTAGTTTCAAGATGAATTCAGTTATGCTCATTAAAGAAATGGTCTGGTTTAATATTTAGATTTACACAGATTTATATAGGTTTTCATAGACTTTGTTTTATTGAGTTATATATCTAATAGTTATCCATTTCCAATTTATTGAGCTATATTGCATTTAGAATTGCTGATATGACAAATTATAACTAATTAATTATAATTGCTAAAGTTAATTAGAATTTTAATTTTTTACCTGTGATTTTAAAGAAGAAACTATATATGCATGCTAGTCAAAATATTTTAATGCTGGTATATACTGTAACATTTTAGCAACATTTTAAATAAAACCAAATCTAACTTGCCTTGTCATTTTTGATCTCATGAGAGTAAACATATTTAATTTCTTAGTTATATAGATTTACTTCAGGTTGGATTTTGAAAAAGTTTGAATTAGGTGGATCGTGTAAATATTGACAGTATTCACATCTATTACAACCACTGTAGTTTTCAATTTGTAAAGTAGCTGAAAATGTGTATGATGTTTTTTAACGTAGGTAATTACCAAGAAGTTTGTTAGGCAAAGGAAGCATTCATGAGACATACAAAACACAGAAAGAGGTAGAAAGAAAGTGAAGACTAAGAGATGGTTAATGTTCCTGGGTCTATACCAAATATACAAGAAACACTAATTTGGAAAATGTGCTGTTGGCAGGAGCATTTAATATTCATGGTCTACCTCAGTACCCATTGTTTTTGACCCTGTGTGTCCTCTGCCTAAGAAACACAAAACCCATGACTGCTAACCAATCTATGGCTGTGACCAGGCATTCTTTCAATTGTGTTTCACTGACAGAGCAGGTTCATATGATTGGTCCTAGGTACCTTATTACTATGGAGCTCATGGTTCAAAACATCTCTGGGGAAGCTTAGTGAAGTAGAAAGACAGGCCATATGAAGACTGCGCATGCTCAGGATTTGTGTAGCTTTTCCTCTAACCCTCTTTGCACCCTATTGTAAGTGTGGTTTACCTGCCTCATCCCTTTCCCTTGCTCCATGAGTTTTAAATCACTGTAATAAGCTCTGAGCATCTTATTTTAGCCCGTGAGGATAGAAAGCCTGCCTATTCATCCTGTGTTTGGAGAGACCACGTTTTGTGGGAATGACTAGATCCTTCCCATAAAACACAATTTCTAGCACAGTCCATATGATTGCAAAATTGCATGTTTTCAATAGGAATCATATGGGACAAAAGTTTTTGGGGCCAAATATTCTAACACGGTTTGGATACATTTTCTTTACATCTGATTTCAACCAGTAATTGTTTCTTTCCCAGAATTTATATAAATGCCAGTGGGAAACAAGGATATAATCTTGATGGGCTTTATATTTTCTTTGGAGAGTCACCTAAACTATTCCAATCAATTCTAAATTATTTTTGGTTGAATATTTCACCTTCATATAAAGTATTTTGAATCTCCTGAAAAGATGACTCAAATTAATGATTGCAATTAGCATTTTGAAGAAATGAGAATTTTTCAGAAAACCGCTGTTAGTGAGGCATCCCTTACTTCTTTCGTGATGTAACCATCTTTATTTATGTCATACAAGTTAAATGCCCAGTTGAGTTTTTCTTGTACTGTCCCCCGAAGCAAAATGGAAAGACCCTTGATGAAATCCTGTAAAGAAATAAAAATATAATTTAGATCTCTGATAAAATTGTCTTTTAAAATGACAGAAGTAAAGGTAACAGTCCTCTGTATTTTCAGTTATATTTAACAAGTTGACAAGTGTTTTTAGTCATCTGTTTCTACTAGTTCTTTGTGGTTATAAACCACTCTCTTGCCTTTAATATTGTCACCTTCCAATTGAAAACTGGCTTATACCAATGCCTGTCTCCATCACTTTTGGGGGCTTCTACAGCAGGGTTGTTACTATATTATCTCTGTATTTGCTTACCATAATGACTAGCCCACAATAGGAGTTAGTGAATGTTAGTTAAATCATTTGCATTCTGAGACTGTTCTCATATAGTTGAGTAAATCCTTATGTGAATGGATTAAAAACTATTAGAAAAGAAACTAAGTAAGCTGTAATGTTTACTTCTTTTGAGAGATAAGAGTAGCTTCTTGGAAATTCAATGAGGGAAAGAAAGTATTCTTGGGCTTTATTCTTGTGCTCAAAATGGATCAATCACCAAAGCTGATTTTCCCACGAAAGGTCTAAAAATCTCTTTCAGAGTGTCTTAAGCCAAATGATATAAAAAAGAGACCAGAACTTACCTCAAAACTCACAGCTCCATTGTGGTCTGTATCGAATGCATTGAACAGAAAATGTGCATACGTTGTAGAGTCTGAAATGTTGAAAAGGAAATATCATTAAGTCAGTGTGCTGATAGCCTATATAAGGTCTAAGTTTTCCTTTATTCAAGAAAAGTAATTTGCCTTCTTTAGGGTATGCTTTCTTCTTGGCTTCCCAATGTCTCTTGGCAGAAGACTACAATTTGAGATCATAGGAATCCTATTCACAGGCCATCGGTGACAGACCTTCTCTATGAGTTTCTGGCTGGAAATGCTCTGAATAAATGTGAGTCTTAGTCATCTAACAACACAGGACTGAATTATGGCCCCACAGTGGGTATGAGGATTGAGTGAGATGTCTGGAAATTGCTTAGCGTTTGGCAGACACTCTAGAAATGAAGTAGAAAGAAGACAAATTATGAGACTAGCAGAGTTGCTATTATTAGTACTTTCATCATTTTTACAACTTAGAAAAGATTCTGGAGTTTGGAAAGGTGGAGAAACATGCACAAAATCATCCAAGAAGTAGATGCAAGGAAGAATGCTGTGAGGTTAACTCGCAGCCAGGCAAGTTGGCTGATGGGTGTGCACACTGGAGACTCGGGAAGCTTCATGGCCCAGCGCAGAGAGGGTTTCTAGTGGTGGTGCGGTTGTGGGTCATGGGGAGACCTTAGTGTTTCTGGGTCCCAGGTGAGCTCCAGGACTCTGGGCACTTGGTGATAAGCACAGGAAACTCTCTGTCCCCCTGCCACACGCAGTCCTGTTCTCAGGCTCTGCTTCCTCCTCCTTTTCCCTTCCTCCCTCTTACCCTTTCATTCCCCAGTCTTTGATCAGCTTTCTGTATTTTCATCTTAAAAGTGTAATTTTCCTTACTGTTTTTTTTCTTCTTCACACCCTGCTTTCCTTTTTAAGTGCTTTTGAGCTTGACCCTTGATCAAATTTACATGATTATCTTAAATGCCCTATCTCATGGGTTTTAGCCTTTTGTCCTAACCTTTTTTTTTAATGTTAAAAAATTGTAACCTTTCAGCTTATTGGCTCTAGCCTTTTATTTTTTGTTTAAAATCTGATCTCTTTCTATTTTATGACTTTTTGCTTTTATTTTAACTGGGATTTAACATATGCTGTTTACACATTTTACTTTATGAATTGCTTTTAAAGTGCTGTCAAGAAACTAAATCAGAATAGCAGTGCAGAATCGCCTTTCACAGAGAATAAAGGGAACAGACTTTTAAAGTGCTGTCAAAAAATTAAATTAGAGAGCAGTAGCCTTTCCCAAATAAAAGCGGGAACAGACATTCCAGAGTTTTGGCTCTTTCCTCTTGTCCAGTTAAAGGTAGCAGCATTACTCTTCTCCTTTAAAATTTTTTTAATTCCTGCCTAAGAAATCCAGACTCCTTTCTGGGCTCTCAGGGCTCATAATCTACTTAGGGATTATTTTTTTGAACGCATCATCACTCTGGTGGTAAATGCTACTTAAGATCATACATTTAATGAGGTAGACTGAACACTCATTTTCTCCAAACAATGGCGGTTTTATCTCTTACCTTTAAAAGTGATTTAAAGGACTCATTTCAGATGAGATCCAGCACATTGAAGGTGATATGGCCATAGAGAAAAACCAGATATTTTTCAAACACATGAATTACTAACATTTGTTTTCAATGAAATAACGAGGCACAAAATTTGAGTCTAAATAATATGAAAAACCATTTTGGCTAGGGTGTAGGTCCCCATAGTATTGATGGACTGCAGGAAGAAATCCTTTTGGATGTGAAACCAGGGGTTTCATTACAATTGACATTGTTGTTGATAAGAAGTTCTACTATAGAGTAATCAAGAATGGGCAGCCTATTTTTATTTGCAAAGTTGCTTTGCTCTGAACAGTACATTTTCACAAAGTTATTAACGTGTTTAGTATTCTGTAGGGATGTGCTGATAAATTTATTTTCAGGGGAGGAAAAAAGAAATTTTGCATATTTTATAATGAACTTCATTAAGTAAGTCTCTTGTTACCCTGTTTATACAGTCAATGTGGAAGGCTCTACCTTAACTAACAAAACTTGTCATGAATAATAGCCTTCAGCAAGTGATTGTAATTTTTTAAAACTGAAAAACAAGGAGTCATAGATGTACAATAATTACCTTTCAAATGAGATTTCTCCAGCTTTAAAGCTTGATGTGTGTTAATGATATACTCAAAGGTCATACTGATGCCAGCCCAAGGACTTCTAGTTTTCTCTATGAAGCTGGCATTTCTCCTAGAGGTTATGCCATTTTTAAGCCTGGATTTATCATACAGAGATATTAATAGTGCAGATTTATTAATAGGGTAGTGAAGTCCAACTGCCTGAATTACAAAATGCAGTTTTACTAAAGATTAACTACATAACATAACCTTTGGCAAGTTGTTTCATGTGTCTCTGACTCAGTTTCACTCTCTATAAAATGGTAAAAATTCAGTATGTATGTCATAGAGACTTTATGAGATTTAAATGAACATCCATATATATGAAGTGTTTAGAATTGTTGCAGCATCTATTAAATATTTGACAAATATTCAGGTTTTATTCTTTCAGGGACACAAACCATTCTTATTTCAACTATCTTTAAAAACTGAGCTCCATTGGGAGGGAAAGGCAAAGGGTTAAATAAAGAATCCGGCTATATTATATATATATATACATGCACCCACACTCCAAGAGTGTAAACTACACGTACTGCAAACATATACTAATAACAACAACAAAAACAATGAAAGTGTGGCCAAATGTTTTACAGATTAAACATTTTTTTCACCTAAAAAGTTCTTGCTTTTGAAACTCTCTGCTGTGTGTTTAGATGGCTGGAGTTCTAATTTGATGCAATTTCATGCTCAATAAAGGCCAGCAGAATTATGTCATGAAAAGTAATGAGCCTTCTCATGGAGTTTGGATTTCTTCTGACAGGGAATATTAATTTCAAAGCAGAGTAGTGATGCTACTAACTTTGGGCAAGAGATAAGGATCCCCAAGACTAGAATGCCGGCCTCAGCACAGGGGAATGTAGTGAAGCTAAGTCAAAGTGAATGCATGAGTTTCTATGGCTTGGTTTCACTGGGAAAGTATTCTTTCTAGTAAATATTTGCTAAAAGGTAGATAACTGGATTCCTAGATGCTCAGCTTCTGTACCGTTGCCAGTTAAAATGATGAGATTTCTCCTCCCTTCTATGATCACATTTCGTTGCATCACAAAAATAATTAGTTAGATTGATGTGCCGAGATTATCTTAGTTTTCTGTAATTTTATCTGTGAAGTTGTAAAATGAATGTTAAAATTTTATAGTTGGGTAACAAAATTTGTGAATTTTTAGGAGAGGAAGAGATTTCTGGTCTAGGAAAATATCCATTTAACAAAGGATAGGTGCAGCTACTTTCAGAGAGTTAAAGTCATCATCTAGGTTCTGAATGGGAAAGCGGTGAAACAAAGACATTCAAATGTCAACATTTTACACTACAGAGTGTTAGAGTAGGCTTTATTGTTCCAATTCTCACATTTTACAGACGAACAACTTGAGGTTCAAAAGGTAACTCACTTAAGGTCACATACCTTCATGGTGTCACCCTATCCATAAACTGGAGACTCCTGTGTTAGCCCAGTGTTCTCAACCCAGTTATTTCCAGATGACAATGACTATGTCCACTAACTCTTCAATGATGACAATGTCCCAGCTTTATGAAAAGAAATCAGTCTGATTGAATTCCCTCTTACCACCGCAAACTCTACCCTCACCTCAATTCAAACACAGGATAGAGAATTAGCTTAGAGGTTTTGGACATGCAATTCCTGGTGTTATCATCATGGTTACTCAGGTTCACTGCATGAATAGCAGCTTTGTAAATAAGCTCTCTAAGGCCCAGATTGTAGATGTAGCTCAATAAAAAATATGCGCTTAGCCTGTTTGATCTCCAATGTGCAAGAATGCACACACACACAAATACACAGTATAACTCACTCTGAAGATTATTTGAGCTGTAGTCCAAGAACAATAAAGATACTAGATGGTGTTTTTAAGATTTTATTTTAATCTTTATGTATATAACATCTGTCTAAGTGCCTTAATTATCTTGTGCACAACTCTTATCAGTGAATATTAACATGTTCTTTTGATTTGAACCCATTCATTCATTCCATATTTGTTAATTTGGTACCTAGTATATATAAGGTACAAAATTCCTACAACACAAACAGGAGTAACTCAGGGAACTGAATTTTCATGACCTTTTGAAATGTTCAGTGAGTTAGGAGTTTATATGCTAGCACCAGGCTTAGAGGTGCATGCCTATAATCCTAAAGCTACCACTTGGGAAGCTGAGACAGGAGGACAGCTGTGAGTTTGAGGTGGCATAATAAGTTTAAGAGAATTCTGAATTATATAATGAGCTCTCTCTTGAAAGGAGGAGTTTATATGCTAAAGTTTCTAATATAAGTGGAGTTCAAAAAGCTACCACATAGGAAAAAAAAACACCATAAGTCTTTGCCTCTCTTCCTATGTTATAGCAGGAATACTTACTATCCAGCAAACAAGGTATTTTTGCTCAACCCAGACAAGTTGTGCTTACAAAATTGTCTCATTAAGTACAGTGAGATTGATATATTAAAAAATGCATAGGGTGTGTTTTTGTAAGATGTATACTTTCCATGGAGGAAATGGTGAGTGTGATTGACAAACACTTCTTTCTGTTAATAATGAAAAAAACCTGTTGTTTTCAGACTGTCAACCTGAATAAATGATGACTCCACAGGACAGCAGTAGCAGGGCTCTGCTTTTCATTTGAGATTATTTTCTTTGCTAACATCACTGTAAGATACAATTTGTATGCATATTAATATTTAATGTTTTAAGTCATCATTCTTTAAATGCTTCATTCCCTTCAATGATGCCTGATACTTTTTAATTTATACATTCAATTAACATGAATAATCAAATAATTTTTAAGAAAGATAAAATGTTTTTTCTTGAATTCCCTTTCAATTTTGTAACCAGGATTCTTTGCAAAGTAGATGATCTGTACTTAAGTATTCTCTAACGTAGAAATAATTGTTTTACAAAACCAGATAAAATTTTAATGTCAAAATATATCTAATTTGTATTATATAATAACTTTACTAGAAATAATGAAATATAATTTAAAGCTATGCGTAAGCATTGGTGCTTTAATATTAATACCTATTAATGTTAGCATTCAGACAGTGAACATGATTTTTATTAAAACATTGCCTAGATTTTAAATAATTTAGAAATATTCGGAGCAATTAAATGCTAAGTAAATCAGTCTTTCATTATACTAACTATAACCCATTCCTAGCCTAGTATCAGGTGATATAATCTCCATCTGCCCATGGTGTATTAGAACTTTCTCTGCATTGTAGCAATGAGAAGGGGCAGGGAATTTGTTGCCCTCAGAATATCCAGGTCTGAATAATAACAGGGCTTGCTGCATTTTTTTATGACTCTAATTTAAGTTTTAAAATGTCTTTAACAAAAATTCTATTTTGACAACCTACACATGGAATTATCTCAAACCCAGAGACATACCTAAAACCAAATAGACTGAAAACCAGAAAAGAATATAATATTTTATGTAACAACTGATATTCAGGTACTCTTTTTAAAAAAATTTTTTTGCAGATATTATTCTTTCGTATAATTCTAGCCACCATGTAAGATAGGTGATTCCTCCCTTCTTCCTACCTTCCTCTCTCCCTCCCTCCTTCCTTCCTCCCTTCCTTCTTTTCTTCCTTCTGAAATAGATGTTCATTAAATGCTATTACTTGTCAGTCACTATTCCATGACCACTGGAAACAATAGAGAACAATATAGGGAAAACTTTACTTAAATCTGACACTTTAGTGGAGAAAGAGACAATAAACAAAAACAAAATGAGTAAATTATCAGGTTATCTTGATAACCTACCAAAGAGAAGTGGTAAGCAGGGTAAAGGGGTGGGGAATGTTTGTGTGGTTGTAGCTTAGATTGAGTGGTCAAAGAACATCTCACCGAGAAGGTGGGATCTGAGTAAGATCAAGCACCATGTATTGAGATGGGTGGTTGGGAGAAGAAAATTTTGGGACTGGGGAACAGCAAATTCAAAGACACAGAAGTAGCAACATGATGAGTGCATGTTTGCCATTTGGTTGAAGAGGCAAAGAGTAGATAGGATGGGGAATGTCTGGGGGAGAATGGTGAGAAATGGGTAAGATCAAAGAAGAACAGATCAGTGGCCATAACTTGCAGGCCACAGATGGGATTGGAAGGTTTTGAGTGGAACAGTGACATGATCTGGATTTTGTTTTAGTAGAATCACTCTGGTTTATTCTGAGACTTGAGTATGCATAAAGATTCATATCTACATGATCCCCCTCCCCAAGGCCTCATGTGCTCACAGGTAGGACTTTTAGGAGGTGACTGAATCATGAGGGGGCGGTACCTTCAGTGGATATTGGGAGGTAGAACCTGATCAGAAGAGGTGGTCACTGGAGGAGTGGCCTGGGAGGGATCACCACCCTCTCTCCTCTCTTGCTCCATCCTTCTCTGCTTCTTGACTGCTGTCCTTGAGTTATTTCTCCCCTGCCATGTCCTGCTGCCATACAGCCCCACTCTGGAGCCAGCTCACTGTGGACTGAAAATCTCTACAAACTGTGAACCAAAATAAAGCTCTCAATCCTTAATTTGTGAGTGTTGGGTATTTGGTTCCAGCAAGAAGAAAGTAACAAAGACACCATGTTTGGAGAAGAGGTGTCAAAATCAGAGAGATCAGTTGAGAAACTAAGGAGTTATTTTGCCAAAAGATGATGATAGTATGGTAATTGAAAAGCAATTTCAAAGACTGATTGCAAGGTCAGTGCCAAAGTATATTCTGGCAACAATCACAGAAAGAAGTAATAGCTCCCTCTGTGTTGAGTAGAGGTCAAAGCTGAAAAGAAAGACTAATTGTTTCCCTTCACTTCAAAGTGAAGCCTCTTCCTTGACTCTTGATTCATGTCCTTTTTCTAACATCTGTCATCATTTTCTCTTATGGCTTTGTGTTTTATTATTCATGAGTTACTAACACTTCTCTCTTTACAAGATCATCTGTATGCAAACAAGTTCCAATCTTTCCCATTTTAAACTCTTCCACTGGTATCTGCATAAAACTCTAATCTGCTTCCTTCTCATCCCTTCACTTTCCCAGTCAAATTTCCCACCAGTGCTTTTTCTGCTGGCATCTTTATTTTCTTCCTTTCCACTTACTCTCTTGTCCTCTGTAATCTAGCTTCAATCTTTGACCTATACTTCATTAGCAAAGCTGCCCCAGTCATACTCATCTTTTGTGTTTACCTATCCTAAAAACACCTTCCCATTTTATCTTCCTGGACTTCTTGGCTACAGAGTTTAATGTCTTTATCTTCTTATTTCTAAACTATCAGTCTCCTTGGGGTTATCCCTGCATCTTTGGCTGCTTGTATTCCTTTTTATAGATTCCTTTATCCTTTCATGTCCTTAACATGTGTTCTGAACTTCCATGCTTGACTCATGGGGCTCACAGTTTTATACTCTTCCCAGTAACCTCACTCATGTCATGGATTTAGATGATCTCTAAAGTTAGAGCATTTTGTTTCATTTTCAGATTTGTATATGTCTCTTTTGATTCCAAATGTTCACAGGCATCCCAAATACAATTTCTTCCAAACTTTCATTATCTTCCTGTTTCTGACATAACTAATAAGTGTCTATTGTAGAATTCTGGAAGTTATCACACACTCCACTTTCCATCGCAGAAACTGAATCACTCATCAAACTCTGCCATTTTTTATCCTGCAAATATACTACTTCTGCAATTCTACTTCTGTCCCAACTTTTCCACTCCTACCATGGGTGTCCTGGTTACACACCTTGTTTTGCTTCCTGAAATGCTCTCCCCATTAGTCTTTTTGGATGTGGTATGGCCTATCCTTAATTCATTCTCCAAAGTGCTATTAATAGGATATATCTAAAACAGAAATCTGATACATTGGATCATCTCAATAGTGCAGATTCCCATTGTATTACATGACATTCATGATTCTCTAGGACATTTCACCCTACTCCACACCCCAATCCTGTCAAATTTCTGCAAATATTCACCTTCATTTCTGTGTGCACATTTTGTGTTTTATAGTCCACTTGTTTAGAGTGCCCCTAGTGCCTTATAAAACTGGAAGCCATAAGATTTAGAAGTGAATTGTCTCCTGAGAAGTATGAACAAGCAGTGAAAGACTATATACTTTGGAAATGGACTTACCTCTCTTTACCTGAGTTTCTATATTTACAAAAAGACAAGGTCATAGCTAGGGTTGCTGGATTGTGAGGGGTTAAGGCATGCTAGCATATATTAGAAACTCCAGAGTGCTTTGCTATTTCACTTCAGGTTCAATTTACCTGAATAGCCTCTTTTTTATTTCTTTCTTATCCTCTAAGTGGTCTAAATATGCCTAGTCCAGGCTCTCATAATACAATTTTTTAAATCCTCATCTTCAGACATACACTTTATGTAAACATTGTCCATTTGCAGTAACTATAACTCGGGGATAGGAACCACATCTACTCCTCTCATTTCTCTTTTGTTAGCAGCATCTTACACACAGCTGGGTACAATGGGATGAGTGACTCATTAGATACTGGGATTAGTTGAATGATTTTTGTGGGAAAATGTAAGATCCAATATCATCTCCTATGTGCCATTGTTAGGCTATCCTTGTATTTTCTTTCCAATTAAAATAATTTCTAGAGTGTGTTAGTTTTCCCAGATGGGGAGTTCATAGTAAAGAGTTACTGAAAAGGAGAAGAGAAAACAGAAAGATCATTTGATAAAGCTATAGAAAAATCTAGGTTGCAACCCAGATCTGCCACTTAGTAAATGTGTGACTAACCCTGAACAAACCATTTAATTTCTGTAAGCCCCAGATTCCACGTCATCACATTGAGGATAATTATGTATGTGCTAATTTTGAGAATTGGGAGAATCAAATGGGGCCTATTATGGAAGTGTAAAGAAAAAAAACCTTGAATTATTTTGAGAACTCCTGTAAACTTCAGAAAATACTGTGCATTGCAGAGTCATTGTACTAGACACACACTAATACTTGTATTAGACTGAAACATAAATTTTCAGATATTGTTAATTTGTAAGTAGCTCACTTTTATGACACACTGAAAAGTCTGCATACTTGCATGGTATATATTAACTTTTTTGCATACAGATTATAAATGTACAGTCATCCCATGAATGATTAACCAAACTCAATATTGCAAGCATAATTCTAACTCCAGGAGCATGTTTACAAGTCCACAATTGTACTTACCTCCCTGGGGGAAGAACTGGGAGTAAATCTCTTTGAAGGTTTCTTCATTAACAACACCGCTGGGACATTCCTAGAGAAAGTGGCAAAGAAGCAATCTGAACAAAGTGTTCATAAAACTGACTTTTTGCACATTTTGAAACAGAACTGTCTGCCATGCAAAGCTGCACTGAAAGTTAACTATCCATCCATTATTACAGAGACAATAAAAGCACACTGTAAACCTGTGTTTGTTCCATTTCTCATACAATTAAAAACAGCAAAATTCAGGATGCAAATATCTTTAAGTATTGAGCATCAAATCTGGCCTGACATATTAAAAACAAACAGTTGCTTTTAGGAACATTCACATTTGTTACCAATGAGGTCTGAAAAAATTGCATTGTTTTTCATATTTCCAGGATATTACAAGATGTTTTTCATGTGGTGCAACTCGCTCTTCACTATCCATGCTGCTGGCATTCTCCATCATATTTTAAACAGGCCAAACTGCCACAATATGCAAGCCAGTTCCTCAAATCCCTTTCTCATAAATATATTATTTTTTTCTAGAGTACTCTGACTAATGTATACATAAGTTAATAAATAACAGTTACAACTTTCAAAGGGAAATAAATATATATTCAGCTAATCATATAAAAGTTTCGATCTAATGACTATCAGTGGCAGCAGACCAATTATAAGAGCAAATAAACACTTTGCAGTAGAAGCCTTTTATGAATGAAAATTGTGATTTATTGGCTATGTTTAACCTTGAGTGATGCTTGGGGATAGTAAGGGAAGAAAAAGTGGCTCTGTTCTGTCAAATGGTAAATTTGTAAAAAGTCAGAGCTGGAAAACTGCCTCAAGTTACATTAGTGACAGTGACAAATTTTAAGAGTGGGAAGCATGGAATGTCTTTTAATAAATTTTTCACTTACCTTTGGTCTAGATACGTGTTTGTGGATAAATTATTGTGTTCGAGGATAATTATTGTGAAATGAGATTTAGAAATTATAGCATGTGGTTTTTTTTCATTATCATGTTTATATCAGAAGAAATCACTTTTGTGCCAAATAAACACAGGTCTCAGGGTGGCAAACTTGCCAGGTAACTTTATCTTCAACTCTTTCACATTCATTGCATTAACTTCTATTTATAGCAAATGCACAATGTTTGCCACTTGTTTTAGGAAAGTGAAACCCAGAGGGGAAAATATTAAGTCCTGTGGTCCCATGTCTGGCATTTGGAGCACATGGTGAGGTGTGAATGACAGAGGTTTTGGATTATCTCACTCCTATGTCTTTGCCACCTGCAGCCTACAGTCTCTCCCTTGAGCTGGTTTTACTCCCTGGCTGTGATTTGTATTGAAACACATGGCATGTTATTGGCATCTCTAACATCTTGAGGTCTCCACTGGACCTTCAGCTTCATTCACACAGCTTTATATAGTTAGCTCCCATAGATGTATTGCCTGATTTCCTAGACTTCCCTTTGAAATTTGAGTGGAAACCTCTCTGGCCCCACAACTCTTGCATTCTGCATATCTTGAACAACAAGCATCGTGCAGAGGATGCCAAGCTCTGCTGCCAACTTCAGCAATAAAGAATCTCATGTGGGCCATGGGCACAGTGGTCTCTGATGGTTGTGCACAATGAAATAAATCCTGGGGAACCAATTCTCTAGGTGGCCTTTATGGAACAGGAAACCAAAGGTTTTTTTCTCAAATGAACTGTTTGTATTTCTGCCCCAATATTACACATGGTTCTTTCCAGGTCAAATGTTAAGTTTTTGAGTCTTTCTGCTAGGCATTTTCTCTCAGTTCTCACTATAAGTCCTGCCAATAATACTCATAGCAGTCTGAACTTCAAGGTTGCCTTCCAAGCTTCTTCTTCCAGCTCTATTAGTTTACCATTATTAAATTCAGCTTCTCATAAAGCTTAAGGCATGAGGAAAAATGCAGGCATTTTTCTCTTGAGTGGAACATGCATATACTCTAGACCAACTAATAGAGTCCTTATTCTTAATTAAAACCTCATGAACCTCAGCTCTATTCTCCGCATTCCTAGTAACATTCTGGTCTTTTCCAATCCCAACAAAATTATAGGTCAACTTCTATTTCTAATGTTCTTGGACTTTTGTAACCCTCATCTCCAAGTCTTTCCAGACTCCTGCAGGCCAGTCCTAAAGTGTCTGAACTACCTGGTCAGATATAGTCATAGCAATGTCCCTACTTTTTGGTTATCTGTTTTCTGTATGTTTAGATTTCCCATTGCTGAGGCAAAATATTCAAAACTTACAAGTTAAGGGAGAAGTCTGATTTGGCTCAAGATTTTGGAGATTTCAGGTCATGCTTGGCTGGTTTTAGAGCTGGAATGTAATGATATAAGGTGTGTGGTAGACAATTGCTTTTTTCAGGGCAGCTGGGAAAAGAAGAGGGGAAGAACACCAGAAAAGAAAGAGAAGACAGATATAAACCCCAAGTTACACCTCCAGGACTCATTTGAACACACCCAAAAGTGTGTTTTAATACCCTAGGTACTTCCAAGCTACACAAGTTGACAACTAAGTGTTATGGTCACATTAGGGACACTATATTCATCAATGGATTATCCCAATTATAAGTAAATTTATAAATAAAGGGATGATCCATTGATGAATTTACCCTACACTATATTGTTAGAAGGTAAGGGCCATTTGAGAAGCCATGCAATGGGCCATGCCTTTTACATACATATCTTGTTCTGATTTTTCCTTTCTCTCTCTGCTTCTGGTTGCTGTAAAGTAAGCATATTTCCTCCACCAGGCTCTTCTACTGTAATGTTTCTGCTCTGGTGCCAGCCAAATTGGATTTAAATCTCTGAGGCCATAGCCAAAATAAACCTTTCTTCCCTCAGTGGCAGGTGGCAAGTGGCAGGTAATTTGTCTTGGCAATAGAGGTTGATAGATATTCATACTACAGTAAATGTTTAAATACCATGGTGGTATTTAAACCATGTCTAGTATGAGAAACCAAAAGTGTAAATAAGGACCAAAATGTATAATAGATATTTGGAAGTGGGAAGAAATTGTTCAAATGAGAAGGAGAATAAGGGAAAGGGGAGGAGGAAAGAAAAGAAGAGACAAGAAAATGGAAAGATAAAAATAGAAACAAAGCTTTTGTAAACATGGAGAGGGAGAGAGATTGAAGGGATGGAAGGGGAATGGGAAAAAAAGAAGCAAGATGTCTGATGTACAGGTAAAAATTAGCTATGATGAATGTTATCATTGTATATAGCTAAAATGCATCAATAAAAATAATTTCCATTTTCAAAATATAAAGAACAAAAATGAACCCAGAAAATGATGATCTTTTATTTATTTTAGAGTTTATTGAATCTAGCGCATTTTTTAAAGTTTAAAAATGAAAATAAAACAAACTATGTCTCTGGTGATTTCTATAAGATAATGAGTAAGATTATTTTTTTCCCTCATTCTGCTTTGAAGCGATCTCTCCACAAAACAGTCTCTCCAGTTCTACATTAAGAATGAAATTGGACGGGACTTCCGGGAGAACATGGTGGGTAGATAGCAGCAGCTTCAGCGGCTCTTTGAGAAACTGCACTTAAAATCCAGGAATGGTGCCAGGCAAGAAATCCTAAGCAAGGTGAGATACACTTTGCCAATCCAGGAACGAACTAAACTAAGAGAAACCAACTGGAAACGCAATCCCGGTGATATAACAGGAACAGATAAGGTCTCAGCACGGAAGCTGGACCCCATGCCACTGGAAGCTGTGATTTGAATTTCCTGCAGCCGCTGCTGCATCCCAATCAGCACGGCAAGGAGAGGCACGAAAGCTCTGAGAGTGGGAAGCGGTGAATGGAGCTGAGAGCAGGACTGGCCAGGAGCCCTGCATCGACCTGTGGTGAGTGAGCGGATTGGGGACCCTTCCATAGAGTAAGTGTCTTCAGCAAAGGACATACTGGGACTGCGCGGACTGGCCGGGACAGGATGCTGCAGTGACTTCAGTCACATATTCCCCTCTCAAGCAGGATTGGTGGGCAGTGCCTGGCCTGTGTGACACCGCTGATTAAGACCCAGTAGGCTAGCCCAAACCAGGTCCCAGCGCCTGGAGGTGCACCCTAGCAGTGTAGCCTTCAGTAGGTTGACCTGGAGGGGCGGGCCCAGCCTAGGCTGCCCAGGTCTGTGTCTCCCTAGTACACTGCAGTGGACTTACATTCAATGCACACTGTTTGGAATTTACAACCCACCACTGGGGACTTAGGAACCACATTGGGCTTACAATGCAGGAACGTGAGTGGCAGTATGGCCTTAGGTGGCTTCTACTATAGTGTGGTACTGTAATTTTTGCTCATAGTACTGTACGGTGCATACTGTAGCTTTATGATTTGTTAGCTGTTATAGTTTTGCATACAAGAGTGATACAAATGAAAGCAAAGTCATCAAGTTGGTGTTTGCTTTGAACATTTTTTGTTCCAAATATTGTAATTTACATACAATATATAACTCCTCATTTAGTGACAATTTATTTAAAGACCTATTTAATGACAGAAAAGGAACTCAGTCATTAAAGAAGGAATGTCTGTATATACCTTTATGGTCTCTATGCCATATTTTCTTATGATAGTTTCTTCTGTTAATGATTATTCCATGAAAAGATGCTTGGTATGAAAAAAAACACAGAAAATAAAAATACCCATAAGCCCACTACTGTAAGAACTTTTTGACCATTTAACTCAGCTTATATTAACATACAGCAAAAATAAAATTGAGATAATAAAAAATATAGTATTTTATTTTTTTAACTTTACAGTAAAATTTTTAATATCCTGGATATTTTTCATGCTATGATTTTCAGTGGTGACATAGGAATGCATCCGGTGAACTCACCATATTTTTGTAGATGCAAATGATTTCAATATTTTTGGAACTATGTAGGAATAATGATGTATTTAATATTCTAGTGCACACATCTGTGATTGCACCTGTGTTTCTTTCCTTACGACTAATCCAGGAAGGAGAATAAGAAGGCTGAAGGGTTTAAACCACTGGCACTTTGTCACAAGCACAGTTACACTGCTCCCTAGAAAG